ACCTCGTATCGGTCCGTATCGTCTCGAGTGACTCGTGGGTTTATGGTGCGCTTCGGGCCTTTGCCTTCAATGCCTTGCCAGTATTCCATGGCTCCCAGAGGGATGTTCCTAAGAACAGACATTACTGGCTGCCAGCGTGCGGGTGGCCCCGCTAATGCAGCTGGCGGCGCTTTAACGGGTGGCCCAGCAGAGCCTGCGGCTGACGAGGCAGCTCCAGCGGATGACTCCGCGCCAGGGTGCGGGTGACCTTGGTCAGCAACTGCATCATCGGCTAGTTTCTGTCGGTCGCCAAATTCTTTGAGGACTTTGAAGCGTTCTTCTCTTGAGAGAGTGCCTTCTGCGGGTGTCCCCGCTGCTGCAGCTGGCGCCGCTTTAGCGGGTGGCCCCGCAGAGCCCTTGTCCTCCTTAGCCTTGGCGGCCGCTTCTGCCCGCACCGACCTCATCCCAGCTTCGGGCTTCGGCTGCGCTTTCATTCGTGCCGAACCTGGTCGTGGTGCAAGGCGCGGCTGATGCAGAGTTGGAGTCCAGTCACCTCGGAAAGCTGCCTGAGGCTTGTCGCGAACTTCGTCCTTGACATCGCCTTGGGTCGCCGGTGGCATCGGGGTCGATGGTCCAGCAAAAGCCTTCCTCCTCTCCGTCACGGACAGACCGGGAGGATCTACCGGCTCAGGGTCGTCCGTCTTGGCGATCCCTCTGGCCTTCGCCCGCCCCTGTGTGCCTTCGGGGCTCTTGGACGGGTGCCTTTTCGCAGGAGTCGGTGAAGACGAGGAGTCGGCTTCAGGTCTTGGAGGTGGTCTGCTGCCCTTGCCCGGTTGTGGACCAGGAGGGTCTCTAGGAGGGCCTTCTGGCTGGCCATGATCATGGATGATCTGCCTCATCTGGTCGATGTCGGCAGTACCTTTTATGGCCAGCTTGTACTTGCCATTTTCATGGCGGTGAATTACCCTCGTGCAAAACCACTTCTGCGCCGAAGAGCTGCAGTACCAGCAGGCGCATCCATCAGGGAATGGATTCTCTGAGCCGTCTTCCGCCGCCCATTCTTCATTCAGTTCGGTGTGGTCAGTGCCGGCGGCGGACCCAGCAGCAGATGCAACAGCTATCCAATCTTCGTCCGCGGACCCAGCGGCTGGCGCCGCGTCTGCGGGTGACCCCGCTTCTTTGCTGGATCCTGCGGGTGACCCCGCCTCTTTATGGAATCGGCGGTTCCATTCCTTGAGGCGATGGTCATTGGGAAGCTGTACCCAATTTTCCCTGACGATGTTGGCCACCTCTTCGGTCATAGGGACGCGATCGGCTTCGGTGATGCGCTTTCCTCCTCCAGGGACCTCCTTGTTAGGATCATGGACGTTGCCAGCGTCATCTCCATGAGACCAATTCCACGGGGTCTCACCGTGATGAGGACTCCTGGAGGGGCGGTCCATCGGACAACTGCGCATGTGACCTTTGAAGGGCTCGCACTGACATACTTGTTTCCTGTATGTCTTGCGATCGTTGATGATCTCCTGTTTCTTAGCCCTTTTGTCCCAAGCCTCTGGCGTTTTGGTCTTGCCACCCTTGGTACGTATTATCATGCCAGTTTCGTCCCTTTTGGTGCAGTATTCCTTAGAATACCAGTGGCGGATCACGTCCATCGAGTAGCCGGGGTACCAATTGATGTACCACTCCGGCACGTGCTGAGCGGATACACCAACGGAGTGCTCAGTACTGTACGGGTAGCCCGATGCATCATGTGTAGGGCGTCTGGGAGCTGAACGGCTCCTCCTGCGGGCTGGCCCCGCTGACGCACTACCACGTTCCATTGGCCTTTGATCGTCATGCTCTGAGTCTCGGGGAGGCGATGGTCGTCTGTCCCTCTTGGCGTAGCGCATGTCCTCCGAGTCCTCTGAGCTGTCCTGGACCATGAATACGTGTTGATACGGGCTTCGGAAGTACCCGATGTCGTTTAACTGCTCCATCGTGAGGTCGTTGAGGTCCATCTGATCGCAACCCTGCATAAATACATCCATAGACCAAGCGGGTGGCCCCGCTGTTGCGGCTGGCGTCACTTCGGCGGGTGACCCCGCTAGAGCCTGGAGTGCTGTCAGCATCTGAGGTGCCGACATGTCCGAATCCAGGTATGGACGCAGCCGTGCGCCCCTGGGCGCGACAGCAGGTCGTTCATGGTTATCTGCTGATGTGCTGGCGCACTCAGGAGCCGGATTGCTTCTGCGACCTGCTCTTGGAGCATGTCCTTATAGTCCTCTTCGGCCTCTTCGGAGTCAGAATACGCGGGATGGCCCCGCATTTCGTCATCAGCGTCTCCCGCCTCCGAGCCAGCTCGCGAAAGATCTGGCAGCAACGGCATGCCAATCACCTGCGGTGCCAGCGCGGCGGTGAGCTCTTCCTCGGTCGCCGGGACGGTCTCAGCTTCGGAGACCTCGTCGCCGGCGGGTGGCCCCGCTGGAAGACCGAACCAAGCATTGAACGCGACCTCGTCGACCTCGTCCCAGCCGTGGAACTCGTCGAAGAGGGTCACTGCGTAGTCTTCCAGGGCTACGGTTGCTTCAGCGTAGCGGGCCATCACGTAATACGTGGAGGAGCCCGCAGCGGGAGCCGCTTCTGGATTGACGTAAAACTCGTAGTCAATGTAGTCTATGTCGTCCATAAAAGAATTTTGAGCCAAATGTACGGATCCCTTTCCTTTCCCCTTCGGGCATTGATCGCGCAAATGCTCTGTGCTACCGCATGTATGACACTTCATAGTATTGCCAGAAGCGTCCCTAGGGTTGCCCCTCCGCCCTTTTCCCTTACCGGAGGTCCGCCTGTGACCCCGACCTTTGCCTCCGATAAGAACTTCTTCAAAGGCTATATCAGTTAAGGACGTGAGGAAAGCAGTAATACCCCTACCATGCATACGGCGTCTGCGACCCCCTTTGCCACGACCCTTTCCAAATCGTTTGAAATGTCGGCGTACTGCACGTCTCACTTTTCTGACTGGTTTCTTCATAAAGCGCCTCCAACGGCGTTTTGATTTGCGATAAGCCATAAAAGCGGCTTCCGCTCTTTGTTGTTCAGAAAGGTGAGTGTCATCCGCTGGATAGTCATTACCAGCAGAGACTATGCCATTGTGCTCATCGTCAGATGAGGTATCTGTGTCAGTGCCAGATTCAAACGGTGAGGGTGGCTGAGACCATTGAGCGGATGACTCCGCTTGGCCCCAGAGGGTTGTGCCCGAGGGCGGGCTTGCAGTGTAGGCGGCGCCTGGCGAGTAGTTCGACCAGGCGTTCGCCTCAGCTGCCTCTGCCGATGCCTGGCCAGTCTGCCCTAAAAAGGCAGTGGCCTCGTTGGGCATATCGGCTGGGTCAGCCCAGGGATTTGGCTCGCCAGGACCAGCGGGTGACCCCGCAGTCGTGGCGTAGACACCTGCATGTGAGTGGTGCCCTGCGAAGATACCCGCAATGTTGCCAGGAGAGCGCTCGGCAACATGTCCGTAGTTCCTCATCCTGGTCAGCAGCCTGTCATAGTCTGCTTGTGTTCGGGGCATCTGATGATTAAAGGGCTCCAGCAGGTGTTGGGCTCGTGACGCGCCAACGCCTAACGCTCTGAAGAGAATCAGCGTTAGGATCTGAAAGTTGGGGATGACAAATCCAACAGAGTTAGCCTCGTCACGGGCCATCTCGAATCGAGCTAACACTGAGTCGATTCGCTCGCCCCTTTCGACGCGAAAGTCGATAAGGGCAGTGCCAGAGTTGAGCTGGCGCTCATCTTCCAGATTTTCAAATTTGGTGCTCAGTAAGTACAGTATATATGTTACTGCATCCGTTGGCTGTCCATTGACAGTTACACCATAATTGATGATCTGGGAGGGGACCTGCATGGCGATACGACGAGCAAGACCTTGAAGGCCTCGTTGTAGTGCTGCAGCTTGTTGTGGTGGTGTCATATTGCCGCTCGTTACGTTTAACCATGCATGTACTTCGCGAACATATTCGCGAAAAGGCGTAGTACCGGCAGGGTCCCACGAAGGGCCGGCAGTACGCGTGTCGTCCATCCCCTGCCGCATGTATCCCACAGCACATCCCATTATTACCCACAGAATGCCGAAGATAGTTATCTTAATCCAGTGCATGTGCATTTCGGCTTCGGTGATTGGTTTAGGCTGTGGTTTGTCAGGCTCTGGCGTAGTAGCCGTGAGGCGCCTGACTGGCACGGGATGCAGGTGGCCCCGCTGCGGGTAGCCCCGCAGGGTGACCACGTTCTCGATCGAGTTGCCGATTGGCATCTGGTGGAAGTCGGGAGTGAAGTGGCGCAGTGAAGTAGGAGAGAGCGTCTCGAGTTCGCGGGTTGCCCCGCTAGCTCGATCGCGGACTGGCTCCGCTCCTCGCAGAGCCGGCGCAACATGGTATTCCACCGTAGTAGTAGTCCACCAAGTTGTGCCGTGGATTACAGGAATCAGAGCGAGAGCCAGCCACACGAGAGTGTAGCCAGCTCCGCTACCAAGTCGAAAACAAGCTGGTAAGCTTAGGTATGTGTTACGCTTTAAGCGTTGCCATATCCCAGGCTTTGGCTCATATCGCATGAGCAAGAGAGCAAGACGAAGCATGGGATCTGGAGTAAAGGATAGGATGGGCATCGTCAATGGAAAAGGTATTTTCCGATCTCAGATACAAGTCGTGCGCCTCGGTGAGGCACAATCACATATTTGGCCGGGCCCGGCTTGAGCCAGGCACGGCAGCGGTACATGCTCGATTTATACCTCGCCTTTAACCTTCTCCGTTTAAAGTCTTCATCCCGAACCGCTTGTTGATGGCCCCGAGGCCCAGTAAGGGAACCCAGAATGAGCGAAACAAATCCCGCCATGATTCTCTTCACGAGGCGAGGGGGACTGGGTACGACAACAATGACGACGACAACAACGAACACGACGAGGACGACGACTACGACGACGACGACGACGACGACGACGACGACGACGACGACGACGACGACGACGACGACGACGACGACCCCGCCCCGGTCTCCATCGTCCGCCGCCGGCGCTTGCGGAGCGGCGCTCTGGCCCTTGCCGAGGCTGGAGCACACCCTCCGCACCACCTGCAGGGCCTGGGCCACGGCCTCGTCCGGCGGGATGCCCTGCGGGCCGTGGGCATCGCTCCAGGACAACCAAGATGCCTCCAGATGGCCCCAAAAAAGGCTCACAAGACGTTCCACGAGGGCTTCAAGAGGCCTTCCAAGAGATCTCCCAGGGGCAACAATTATTGATTTTCAACACGTTCCCGCCCTTCCTGTGTGAACGGGCTCGTCCTCATAAGACGGAGCCAGGACGAGGATCAAATCTGGTAAGGATACATAGAGAATCTCTGAGGTTCGGCGGCTCTGGAGAATGTATCGGGCACCGCGGCCTCCTCAGAGCGTTCCGGAACGCTCTGAGAGCGCTCTGGAATGCTCTGGAACGGATTTATCCTCGTCCTAGCCCCGTCCGATCAGCTGCCCCGATATGCGACACACAGCCCGCAGAGTGTTGACACAGAGTCCCACCAGCCCTCTGGGCGGAGGTAGTTTAGAGAGCCCGTTCTGTTGCACCACGTTCTTCCCCTGCGGGGAGGGGTTCATCACTGTTCCCTATTAATCCGCCGGCCCCCTTGCGGGGCCACCAGGCTGTAGGCCTGGAATGTGTTGCTCCCTGTGCCAGTTGCAGCTTCCAGTTTCCACTGTTACAGTTCTGCTTCTTGCTGCTTACTGTTCCCTGTTGATGAACGCGCGAGGGGGGGGAGCCCAAACCAGCAGAACTACCGCGCCCTGGTAGGGTTCTCAACACCCCTCACGCAAATCGGCGGGGTCAGGGTCCACAAACACACGGGATTTGCCACATGTTTGAAACTCGGTGGCACCTTCCACGCAGATCGGCGGGGCCAGGGTCCAAAAACATAAAGGATTCGCTACATCTCTAAAATTCGGTGGCACCCCTCATGCAAATCGGCAGGGTCAGGGACAAAAAACACATAGGACTTGCCACATTCCTGAAATTCGGTGGCACCCCTCACGCAGATCGGTGGGGTCAGGGTCCAAAAACACATAGGACTTGCCACATTCGAGAAATTCGGTGGCAACCCTCACGCAGATCGGTGGGGTCAGGGTCCAAAAACACAACATCCTCGAAATTCGGTGGCACCCCTCACGCAGATCGGCGGGGTCAGGGTCCGAAAACACATGGGATTTGCCACATTCCTGAAATTAGGTGCACCCCTCACGCAGATCGGTGGGGTCAGGGTCCAAAAACATGAGGGATGTGCCACATTCCTGAAATTCGGTGCACCCCTCACGCAGATCGGTGGGGTCAGGGTCGAAAAACAAACAGGTCCCGACACTGCTTCACGGCGGCGCCCAGACCTCATGATTTAGCTTTTGCATCTCCCATTATCCGAGACAGGGGGCCGGCGGCATGGGGAGAAGCCCTTACGGATGAAAACACCCCCTCCCCCACCTGGCCGGCAGCCAACCCGGAACCATGCGGGCACCCCGCCCACCATCCCTGTCAACAAAAACAATACAAAATGCACATTGCAGGGCCACCCTGCCAAAACACCCTCCACAACCCTTGTCAAAAACAATACGAAGTGCACATTGCAGCAAAATCTCGCCCTGTGGGCACGTTGTATTGTTATTTGAAAGGGATGGCGGGGCACCCTTAGTGAAGCCGCTTTGTGCAGGACCACCATCCGTGCCAAAAACAATGCAAAGTGCACGTTGCGACAACGTCGTGGGTATTGTGCTGGCCACCCGCGGTCACTTGGTATTGTTTTTTGACAGGGACGGCGGTGGTGCCCGCATGATGCTGCTTGCTGTGAGCAGGCCCAGAACAATGCTGACGTCCCCCACATCAGCATCTGGACCATGCGGACGGGGGGGCATCACGTTTTTTACAAGGATGGCACACCAACCGCATGTGGAGCCCGCGCCGAGCGTCGCGCACCTGGCGTCTGGTTTGGTTCCCAGTGCCATGTATGTGGTGAGAGGGCGGGTGGGAGTGAGCTAGACGGCTTGCGTGAGGAGAGGGTGTCTTGACCCCTCCCCCTGCCCCCTCTCCCTGGACCTGGGGGGGGGGCCGCGGGTGGTTGGAGCGTCTGCTTCGGCCTAAGATGGAAGCAAGGCAGCCCAAGAGAGCTGAAGATGACCTCCACGATCGCTCAAGATAGCCCTCGATGACTCAAGGTAGCTCCTAACAAGCCTACACGAGGCTCCAAGACCGCCCAAGACGGCCCCAAGTGGCCACGAAGCCTCCCAAGGAGGCCCCCGAGAGGCCCAAATCCTTGAAAACCTACAGAAATCAATGTTTTTCCCAACCATCCTGTGGTGTTGGGCCCTCGTTGTGAAGAGACGGTCCCCGCGTTCCTCCTCCCTCCCCCCCCTCCTCACCATTCCCCCCTCCTCCATGCGTTCCACCCACCCAGTAAAGCGTTTCCTGGCCCCATAAGGAGATCCACCGAAGGCCCCAATGCTACCGCCCGCACGCGTCACCCACACCCATTTCGGCACACCCCTTACACGTTTCGTGGCCCCATCAAGAGCTCCACCGAAGACCCCAGTGCCACCGTCCGCATGCGTCCCCGACACCGATTTCGGCACAACCCTCACACGCGTCGTGGCCCCATAGGGAGCTCCACGGAAGGACCCAGTACCACCGCCCGCATGCGTCCCCCACACCCATTTCGGTACACCCCTCACACGTTTCGTGGCCCCATAAGGAGCTCCACCGAAGGCCCCAGCGCCACCGCCCGCATGCGTCCCCCACACCGATTTCGGTAGACCCCTCACACGTTGCGTGGCCCCATAGGGAGCTCCACCGAAGACCCCAATGCTACCGCCCGCGTGCGTCCCCCACACCCATTTCGGCACACCCCCTACACGTTTCGTGGCCCCATAGCGAGCTCCACCGAAGGCCCCAGTGCCACCGCCCGCATGCGTCCCCCACACTCATTTCGGCACACCCCCTACACGTTCCGTGGCCCCATAGGGAGCTCCACCGAAGGACCCAGCGCCACCGCCCGCATGCGTCACCCACACACATATCGACACACCCCTCACACGTTTCGTGGCCCCAAAAGGAGCTCCAACGAAGGCCCCGGTACCGGCGCCCGCATGCGTCACCCACGCCGATTCTGGCACACCCCTCTCGCGCTTCGTGGCCCCATGGGAGCTCCACCAAAGGCCCCAGCGCCACCGCCCGCATGCGTCGTCACCCGCACCCATTTCGGGACACCCCTCACACGTTTCGTGGCCCCACAGGGACCCCGGTGCCACCGCCCGCATGCGTCACCCACACACATTTCGGCACACCCCTCACGCGCTTCGTGGCCGCATAAGGAGCTCCACCGAAGGCGCCAGTGGCTGCGTTCGCATGCCTCCCCACCGCACTTTTTTCGGCACACATCTCACGCGTTTCGTGGCCCCCATAGGGACATCCACCGACGGGCCAAGTGGCTGCTTTCGCATGTGCCCACCAGACAAGTTTTGGCACACTCCTCACACGTTTCGTGGCCCTGTACGGAGCTCCTCCGAACGCTGTGCATACAACAACGGTGCTCACAATTGCATATGGTTGGGTCTTTCGCCAAGCTGATTTTGCCTTCTAGCGTTGTCGCTTTCAATGGGCTCTTGAAGCTTCAAGATGGCTCCAAGAAGGCCCAAGAGAGACCCAAGAGAGGCCCCAGAGAGGCCCAAGACGGGCCCAAGAGCGCCGAAGAGCGCCCAAGAGCGCCCCAAGAGGGCCCCAAGAGGTGACTTCTTAGGTTCCGAAGGGGGGGAAACGTAATTGACGCCGCGTTCCTTGATGAACCGTGGCCTCCAAGATGGTCCCAAGAGACCTCCCAGACCTCCCCGAAGAGCCCCAAGAGTACCCCAAGACCTCCCGAAACAGCCCGAAGGGTGCCCCAAGAGGCACCACGAGGGCCCCAAAAGGGTCCAGAGACCTCCTGCTCCGCTTCGTCCTCCTCCCACTGCCCTCACAAGAATGTCTAACCGAAAATAAAGAGGAGGTGGGCGGAAAAGGAGGAGATATGCGAGAGCAGGAGGAGACGCGTCCGAAAGTCACGACCGTCGGTGAGCGTCGCAAAAAGTGCAGCGAAAAATTCAACACGTGGTATGACAACGGAGGTCTGGCGAGATACGTTCGCCAAAACAATGGCAATCGCGTGCCGAGCCAACATGCAGAGTGTGAGCACGGACGTCCTCAACACGGTACATGCTGCGTTTTCAGCGGGCGTATCAGGGCAGCGGCGGGCCCGCCACGTGCCCAGACCTCCTCGGGCCGCGAGCGAGACACACGACAGGTGTGCTTCGCTGTCTTCGGCCTCCCAAGGGCCCTTCCTGGGTGACCGGGCCTCGGAACCGGCACAAAAAGGACTCGGGATGACGACCCTGTTTCGGGCAGCGGGTGGAGACCTCCGGGTGTCGACGTGATGGAAAAAACAATGACGTCGGGAGTCTGGGTCGAGTGCACAGCAAGCACGGCAAGGGCGAGTAGCCCAAGGAGTGGGCATGACCCCGAGGCAGTCACAAGGGCTCGTTTGGGGTCGCCGCACCCCCTCTTCCCTCCTCCCTCTTCTTCCTTCCCTCCCTCCCTCCTCTTCCTCCTCCTCCTCCACCTGCCTCCCTCCTCCCTTCTCCTCCTCCTCCTCCCTCCTCCTCCTCCTCCTCCTCCTCCTCCTCCTCCCCCTCCTCCTCCTCCTCCTCCTCCTCCTCCTCGCCTGCTCCTCGCCTCCTCTTCCCCCCATCCCTGCTCCTCCTCCCCCCTCCCCCATCCCGCCTGCCTCGTCTGGGCATCTGGGGAGGCCGCCCACACCCGCACTGGAGATGACAGCCGGCATGCCAAAGCTAAGTGCAAGCCTGCATGCGGAGGGGCACCCCCAGCACGTGCTTCGCACTCGGGCGCCCCCCACACCTCCACGGGGCCTGGGGCCTTCGTCGGCGAACGGGGCTCAGTGAAGGGGCCCAGGGACACACACACACAGACACACACACACAAACACACAAACACACACACACACACACAAACACACACACACACACACACACACACACACACACACATATATATATATATATATATATATATACCTCCTCCTATATTTCTATAAGTCCGGGCGGGGGGGAAACACGTCACCCCCCAAAAAAAAAACCGAACTCCCGGGATCTGGGGCTTTGGAACCCTCTGGACGGGCCTCGAAGCGGCCCCCCGGGCCTTACAGGGCGTTTTGACAAGCCTTCGCAGCACACCTGGGGCGATCAGGGGGGCCATCGGAAACGTCCCAGAGACCCCCAAGACAACACAAGAGCGCTCCAGGAGTGACCGACGTGACCTCAAGATGGCCCAAGAGGCCTCCAGGACGGCCCCAAGAGCCTCAAGAGCAAGGAGGCCCCAAGAAGGCCCCAAGAGGCAAAAATCATTAATTTTCTGTTGGTTTTTGGTGAATTCTGGGGTTCTCCTCTTTTCGGCTTCCCGACACTCCAAGACGGCGGTTTTCTTAGCGTCCGAAGACGCCTGGGAGGCTCCAAAATCGCCCCACAAACATCCGAAAGGGCTCCCAAGCAGTCCAAGAGAGCCCCAAAACGGCACAACACGGGTCCAAGATGGCCCTCAGAGAGCCCCATGGCGGCCCAAGATGGCCCCAAGACACCCTCCGAAGCATTCCAAATCGTGACCCGGTCGTTCAGGGAGATCGCGGTTGGAGGCAGGGTGGCCCGAGGAAGCCCCCAGAGGCCCCCAGAATACACCCAGGAGGCCTCCTGAAAGCATTAAAAAAGCCTAAAACAACTTTTGTGAGGCCCCCAGAGGCTCTCCAAGGAGAAACCTCCGCAATAAAGAGCTGAAGAGGATGGGGAGAATGCGCAGGGTATGGCGAAAATGCAGAAAAAGAAGCATGGAGGAAAGATAACGAATCACGCTACTATAGCGGCGATGTCGGAAAAGGCAACAAGGAGTTATCGCTAAATTGTCAGCTTGACCTTCCTGCTATTCTGCCTGCATGCCACACTTCAAGGACCAAGGTGCATGGCGCGAAGCGCCACTGCAGTCTTGTATATATATATATATATAGATACAAGCAGAAATCCTAGGACCCCTCACATTTGCAATACTTTTGGAAATTCGAGATTCCTCCCCCTTTCCATGTCTTCCCTGATTCTCATGGGGATCGACGATTAAGTGTGTCTGTGTTTTTGTTCCCTCCTAACTCACGCTGCTGTGACCATGTGCCGGCTGCAATCGTGATGTGTACATCTGCTGGCCACCTCTGTTGCTGCTCCAAGCTCCAACTCAGCTTCAAGTCTCCCATGGCGCAGTCCTACGCTATACTTCCTCACGATCTTTAAATTTCAGCGGGACTGTGAGACACAGGAAACTGATTGAGGCTCGCGCCTCCGAGGCCGTATCCCCTGTGAATTACGCCGTGGTCGCGCCCCCGAGGCCACGACGCCTCGTGCATTGCATCGCGTGCGCGTCCCCGAAGCCAAAATCCGTTTCAAATTACTCAACAATCGCGACCCCGAGGCCAAGAACCCTTGCAAATAACACCATCGTCGCGACCCCGAAGCCACGATCGCGAGCAAAGTACTCTACATTCACTTCCCCGATGCCACGATCCCTGGTAAAGTATGCGATCGTCCTTTCCCCGATGCCACGATCATTTGACAAGTATGCAACGGTTGCGGCTCCGAGGCCACGATTCCCATGAAATGCTAGAGTGCTCGCACACCCGAGGCTGCGATCCTTTGCAAAGTCAATCCAATTCGAATCCCCCATGCCACGATTCATCGTGAATGACGCAATGTTTGCGGCTCCGAGGCCACGATCCTTTCTGAAGTACAGCATGTTCGCGTCCCCGAGGCCACAATCCCCAGCAAACTACTTGTGTTCGCGTCCCCGAAACCACAGCCCTGTGCAGAATTATGATTGTGCTTGCCTCCGGGACACGATCGAAAATAGATTGACCGATGGTCGCGCTCCCGAGGCCAATACCCCTTGACAGTTACGTCACACTCGTGTCCCTGAGGCCGCGATCATTAGTAAAGTATACAAGTGTAGTTTCCCCGAGGCCATGATCCATCGACAAATATGCAAAAATCGCGCCTCCGAGGCCGTGATCTTTATTAAATATGTACGATTCGCATCTCCGAGGCTGCCACCCCTTGCAAAATTGATCAAAATCGAATCCCCCAGGCCACGATCAATCGTGAATAACGCAATGCTCGCGTCTTCGAGGCCATGATACCTTCTGAATTACTCACTGCTCGCGTCCCCGAAACCACGACCCCTGGCAATTTACATTATATCCGCGCCCCCGAGACCACAACCCTGCGCAACATAATGATTTTGCCTGTCTCCGAGGCCACGATCACTACTACATTGACCTATGTTCCCCTCCTCCTACTCCTCCTCCTCCTCCTCCTCCGCCTCCTCCTCCTCCGCCTCCTCCTCCTCCTGCTCCTCCTCCTCCTCCTCCTCCTCCTCCTCAATATTTTCGCGCTCCGAAGGACAGGAAGACTTGTTCCTCCGTGCAGGGCGTCACGGAGCAGGGCACCCGCACAGTCGCGGAGCACCTGGCCGCGGCGCTGGCGGCCACACACGACCCCGAGCTGAAGCAGGCCTTCCAAATCAAGCCCGGCCTGCTCACGAAGGGTCCTGCTGCGACGCGCGGCCCCCTCTGCATCTCCTGCGTAGATTACGCGCGTCATGCTCTAGATCGTGACAGAACAATAAGCGGGTGTGCTTCTTGCATTTTGCACGGAACTGGCATTGGTCTAATTTCACAAAGAGCACGCTGGCCTGTGGGGCGACTTACTGCATTACACGGGTGCGCCACAATCTCGATGTTCGCCGGTGCTCAAGGGCAGCGGGAATCTTGGCCTGAAGAAAAAAAAAACAGGTAACAGCGAGAAGGCGGCACGAGCTAGGTGATTTCCGAGACTAAACTTGTCAGCACCCTTTGCCGACAGCTCATCCCGCGGGAGGCCCCGGGGCATATCGCTAGATCGAATATTGGCATGAAGAAGCGAGCGAGGCGGCGAGGGCAAGCTTGCAGCGGCTGTCACGTCCGATGGCTTGCGCGACGCAGTTGTCGAGCAAATTCTGCCGCGCGGGGTCATGGAGCACGTCCCAGCTTCGGGCTCTGAACCCGAATGCCTTTACAGCTTTAGAGATGCACCTGGCCGCTGCAAACAGGCCAGCTACGCAGCGCCCCCGCAGGCCTTCAAAACGCACGGGGCCCAGCTGCCGCACGCGGCATCCGATGCAGGAGACCCTCGGGAGGCCCAGCGGGCCTGCCGGGCCCCCATGCCGCCTGCTGGCCTGCAGCGGGTGGAGTATCCCTAGGAGGGTCATCTGCATGTGGGCCTCGCGCGCCCCGCACAGGCGCCACTGGTCCTGGGGCACTTCTTGCGCTTGCCACCCAGGCGGCCGCGGCGCTCGTAGCGGCGCATGCCTTTCGCCTGGGCCCAGCAGCCTAGCCCCCTGACCTGCTCTAGCTTGCGATCCCGCTTGCATGCCTCGATGCTCGCCCCTGAGTGGCGGAGCTGATGCAGCGCCAGCTCTTCGGCCCCGACCTCGGCTGGCGCCAGCTTCGGCTCGGAGGCCAGCTCGGGGCGCCTGAACGGCCAGAGAGGCCCCGCGCCGCCGGCCCTGCGCAGCTGGCTGAGGGCGGGTCCGAGACCACTCTGGTAGCATGAGTCGAGAAGACACCCCTCGTCGTAGCAGTTCGTCTTGATTGGCCGAGCACCCCCTCGGGGTGGGTCAGCGGGCCCCAGCAGTCCGCTTCCTGAGTTGGCGGCACCAGGTCGCACCTCGGCGCCGCCCGCAAGGGGGATGGGGCGCGAATAGGCTGACAGCTCGACCACGACAAACAGAGTTATGGCCAGCGCCCCCCTCTCCCCAGGCACCACATCACGACGGCCCACGCAGCCAAGGGGGGAGCGCATCGGGCCCGAAAGGGCGCCGCACGACTCCGCGCCTTCAGCGCCCGCCACGTCCGCGGGAGAGAGCGGCGTCCTCTGCGCCCAAACGCCGGGGGCCGATCGACCAGAGCAGCTCCCGACTGTTCCCCCAGGCTGGCCTGCTCCTCCTCCAGAGTACACGGCGGTGAAGTAGTCGCACTGCTGGCAGTCCGAGTTCTCGTCCACGAGGATCGCCACCCTGGCGTCACTCAGGCTGGAGTGCGAGAAGAACCTGTCGGGGTACTGGCCATGGCGGGCCTGCGCCCCAGCCGTCACTGCCGCGCGCTCTAGCAGCGTCGGCCCTCCCGCCGCCGACGCCATGATGAGGTCGGCTGACAGGGCCACCCGTCGGCGGCGGCGGGAGGCCTTGAGGCGGCGGGATCGCCGCAACGAGGCTGCCGCAGCCTCCACCAGGCCGTCGGCGGCGCCCGAGTCGCCGTCCGCCGCGGCGCCCCCCGCGTTGCCTCCAGCGGCGACGCAGCCCTCCCGCGTCGCGAGCGGCGGCGACGGAGGGCCCGCCCCCCGGCACGGCGTGTCTTCGCCCGCCTCGCCGTCAGCTCGGTCGTCGGCGGGGCGAGGGCTCGCGCGGCCCGGCGCCCGACGCGCCTCGGGGCCTCGCCCGGCCATGCTGCCGCCGACGGCGGCCCCGCATACGCCGGGGGCCCCGTCGCCTGGAGCCTCCGCGTCGCCCAGCTGGTCAGCGGGAGGGCTTGCGTCACTGGCGCGCGCCCGCTGCCCCCTCGAGGCCCGAGCCGCCCGTTGCCCCCGCGGCGCGTCCAAGGCGGGCCCGCTCCCTGCCGGAGTCGCGCGGACCGTCAGCGCCTTTAGCGCGCGGGAGTGTCGCGTTGAGATCGCATCGCTCTTGGATGGATGCGAGGGCTGAAGCTCACTGGTCCTAAACATACCCATGCCCGGGGTCGGCCTAGGTGAGCAGGGCCGTCCGCGGGACTGGGCGCTTGCCACTGCGCCCGATCAGCCAGTCGCGCGCGCGCTGTCTCAGCATCCCCGCGTCAGGACGCAACGACGCGCTGAACGGCTGGTTGTTCGATTGCACCGACATGCCCTTTGCTGCGTCAGGGACGTCTGGGAGCATCGGGAGTGTCCGCGGGGTTAAGAAAATCGTTGGAGTGGTCGTGCCTGTCCAATCTGGGGGCGGGCACCAGCACTCCGTTGCGTTTGGGCGTGCCCGCAGGAGCGTCGTTGCAATTCCGCGTTCCCCCGGGGGCCGCTGCGGTCGCGTTCGGGGGCGCTCTCGGGGGCCGCGCGTGCGCCCGAGAGCGACTTCGACCAAACGCCACCTCGACTAGGTACGGGTACGTGTCCCGGGGTACCATCAATGCGCGTCGGCGACTGTGCCCCCCGACGCGTGCCAGGACCTAGCTGGGGTGCCGGGCGGGTTTCCCAGGGAGCAGCCCCTGGTGACCGCGCCTGGCCCCAGGCGTTCGGGGCGAGCGCGGGATTGCAGCGGCGCCCGCCCTGGACGCCCAGGACGCATTTTGCGCGTGGAGCCCCCGACGCGAACGAGCTACTCCAGCCCGAGAGCGACGAATGCGTGGTGGGCCACTCTGCCGACTGGAACGCGCGCGCCTTCGGTGCCAGCGGATCCCCGGAGAAGACAGCGCCCTGTAATGTTCCATGGGCCGTCGCATCTGCACTTGCGCAACCGCCGTCGGCTGCGGCGCGTCGTTCCCCCAGACCCTTGCCACCCCGCCTGGGTAAGGACACGGGCATCTTCCGAATTGAACCACGTGACCTCGCGAGTCCGCGGGTCGCGGGGGCCCCAGGTCCCTTCGCCGGGCGCCAAAGGGTGGTGGAACCAATGGAATTCCCCATGTCCGGTCTTGGTCTGGTACTCTTCCACCCCCACCTTCTGGCACCCTCGGGTCGGCAGCGACACACCCAGGCCGGCCTCCTCGGTAAGCTCCGGGAAGGCACAGCCCAGCTCGCTCCCGTCCGCGAAGTCGAGCCGCCCCTTGGGGAACTCCCAGGGGCCCGCCGCGTCCTGGCTGCGCCCGATGGCCAGCAGCTCCGGGACTCCGCCGCGCAGCCTGGTCACCAGCACGCCCGCGGCCACGGTCGGCCGCGCGTCGAACGCGCCCGGCTCTGCTGCGGCCCTCTGCTCTCGGGTGGGGCGCCCCCGCTTGGGCGGCACCCTCCCGCGCCAGGCGCGGCACCCGAGGCTGAGCGCCAGCGCCCGCTGCCCCCAGCGCCACCACCAAAGGCCAGCCTCGCCGCGGGCCGGACAGGGCCGCAGGCCATGCGGCCGGCGCGGGGCCGCCCGTCTCCAGCCGAAGACAGGCTATGGAAAGGAGGGAGATGAGAGAAGAGTGAGAGAAGACGAGACTGATGTTTAAACCTTTGGATCGTTCGCAGGTGGTAAAAACACACGTACGCATCACAACGTTCAAACGATTCAGCTTTGACCTTTCAAGAACATGGATAAATTGTTCATGCCACGCGATTTAGCCCAACATAGCCTGACATAGCCCACAGTCGTTCTAAGAGGGCGACAACGCCGAGCCGACCAGAATCGAGGAGAAGGGGGAGAAGGACCGATGATGGATGAGGAGGAGGTGTTGGTGTTGGTGTTGGTGTTAGTGTTGGTGTTGGTGTTGGTGTTGGTGTTGGTGGTGGTGGTGGTGGTGGTGGTGGTGGTGGTGGTGGTGGTGGTGGTGGTGGTGGTGGTGGTGGTGGTGGTGGTGTGGTGGTGGTGGTGGTGGTGGTGGTGGTGGTGGTGGTGGTGGTGGGTGGTGGTGGGTGGTGGTGGTGGTGGTGGTGGTGGTGGTGGTGGTGGTGGTGGTGGTGGTGGTGGTGTTGGTGGAGGTGGAAGAACAAGAGGAGGAGGAGGAGGAGGAGGAGGAGGAGGAGGAGGAGGAGGAGGAGGAGGGGGAGAAAGAGGAAGAGGAGGAGAAGAAGGAGGAGGAGGAGGAGGAGGTGGAGGAACAGGAGGAGGCGGAGGAGAAGGAGGGGGAGGAGGAGGAGGCCCAGGGGCCCCCCCCGCCCCGCCGCGCCTGCGCGACCGCCGCCGCCTCGCCGTCTCCCGCGGGGGGCGCGGGCGCGCCCGCGGCCCCGTTGGCTCCTGGCGGCGGCGGCCCCGCTGGCTCCTGGCGATGGCATGGAGAGGAGCGGGGCCTTGTGGAAGCGGGTGCAGACCTTAGCGGGCCCTGGAGACGACAAGGCCAATTTTCTGTTACCGTTTCCGTTCTGCCGTCGTGTTGCCGGGTGCGACGCCGTTGTGGTTGCCGGTTCCGTCGCCGTTTTTCCACTGGTTCCAGCTCGGGTTCCAATCCTGGAGCCGATTTTTTGCCGTTTCGGGTCGCCGTTTTTGTTGCCAATTCCATTTTCAAGAGACACTTTTTCGGAAACGGTGAAAAAATTGCACTGCCGCTTCTGGGGCCCACTGAGGTCCAGACCACGGGGCTTCCCCCGAGACCAACTTCTCTGACGGTCCTGGGGCCCGGGAGGGCCTGGGGTCCCCTAAACTGGACAAAAACCTGGAACCATGTTTCCTCCACGACTTGGTGCCGCGAGGGGGCAGCCTTCTGAGTAGGCGGGGGGGGGGGTCGTGGAAGGCAGGGGGCTTCCTGAAGGACCCAGGCACTCTTTGTATCCACGAGGGCTTCCAAGAATCCCCCCGTGCCTTCAACGAAAAGCCCCAGTCCAGAAGGCCACCCCACTCGCGCCATCTCCTTGCGCGCGCCGCCCAGTCATGATGATCCTCAAGAGGTTGCCTTCGGGCCAGAGCCAGCCAGATTGGGCGAAACGGCCACGCGTTGCGCACCAGGCACGAGTGCCGACCCATGCGCTGGGCTGCTCAGGGGCTCTTCGGCATCTGGCCGGGACAATGTGGGGTGGACGAGGGGTATCAGGAGATGCAGCAGCAGAGGACTGCCATCATCAGCAGCAACATAATCAGCAGGATTCTTGAGGCCTTGGAGCCGATGAGAGACTGACAACGACGCTGACATCTTGAGATGGCGCCAGTGTCGAAGCGGACGAGACGCATTGGGCCCAACTTACAACCGAATATGTCGTGCACGCACACGCCTGATGAACAAAAACAACTTGTTCCAGTTACCTCGTACCTTCAAGCAAACCTAGAATACTGTAAAGATCGAGGTGCCCCACCGGTGGGACGAGGAGTACATGTGAGGGGTGGGTAAGATGAGCAGGAGAAATAGTAAGACTCGCAATCCCTGTCACCAGCTCATCAGTAGCACGCCCGCAGTTGCAGGTGTCGGTTAGGAGTCCCACTAGTCAAGTGGGCCCCCCTTTCCCGCGAATGGAAAAACCGGCCTCCGATTTGGGGCACCGCTGCCGCAAGTCCATATCAAACTGGCCGCCAAGGGGAGAGGAATGAAAGCCAGCGGTTGGTGTCGACCTGGTTTGTTCGGCTTGGGCCGAACTCTCGTGGTGCGCGGCGTCGGAGCGAACCCGTCGCGTCCGAGGCAAGCGTGGGGACGCCACGGCAAGCGAATGAGGTAGTTACCGCAGCGAAGGGCCAAACCCACGGCAGCTGAACTCTGTCCCCCTCCCGCGGTCCGATCGAGCCCGCAGCAACCGCCGGCACCTCCCCAGGTCGACCAACTGGAACCGTGCTGTGACTGCCTGTTGCGCGCTGCCGGGCGCACCTGCAGCGATCGGGCGCTTGTGAGCACACTGCGCCCCGGTGTCCCACTGCCCCCCTCCCCTCTCGCCAGTGACCCCCCCCCCGGCCCCCTCCCCTTTCTGCCCCCCCCCCCCATCCCTTTCTGCCCCCTCCCCTTTCTGCCCCCCTTCCCTTTCTGCCCCCCTCCCTGTCTGCCCCCCCCATCTCTCCCCCCCCCCTTCCACAACTAGATGCGCAACAAAAGTGCTGAGTGCTGCTCTCCCCTCTCCCTCGAGGGCGCGTGGGGAGCGCCCCGCCCTCTCCCGCTCTGGCAGCCGCGCCAGCACGCCCGGGGCCCTCCGCCCCTGCCGCCCGCGACACCCCCCGACCCGCACCACAGCCCCCCCCCCTGCTCCTCGCGCCATCGCTCGGACGTCCACTCTTCGAGCACGGCCCGTTTTCGCGCGTGGTGTGCTTGCTCGGTGGTCCGGGATGCTCCTCGAAGGTCCCCGCCGAGAGAGCAAATGCGCACGTCGGAGCGATGGCAAGACTCTCGCCGCTATCCGTCCCAGGCCACCGTCGCTCCGGCGGCGGCTGCCCCAGCCACACGCCATGACACAAGTTCCACTCTGCAAGCGGGTGGCGTGTCGTTCCGCGCCGCGGGGCGGGAGGCTGGAAAAACTCGGATCGTGAATGGTTGGGAACTGGGCCGTGTATGAATTCGTAGCGCCGAGGCGCGGTGGGACAGCACCTTTGGAGGCAACTCCTGGGATGTTCACGTAAGAAGATTCGGGTGATTGAACACGATCATGGGGCTACTAAGCCAGATTTGGGACGGATTGCTCCCAGGACTAAACCTGATTAAACTGGATTGCGCGGGATTGCCCGGGACGGTGCCGGACTGGGCTGGGAGTTGCACCAGTTACGCCGTACCATCGCGGGAGACACGCGGACTGCACGGGAACTCTGCGCAACTGCACGGGGATACCTGTGTCGTGGATGACCACGTGAGGCCACGTGAGCCCGACTCGGGCGGCACGAAGCCGAAGTAGCTCAGATGAGGCTAAGGGTTGCACGGGACCATAGAGCCAAATAGGGCGGGAACATGCGAGATTGGGCCAATGTTCGGCCACGGCCAAAGCTGCGCCGCACCAGCCCAGGAGTGGCGCTCGGGAGAGCCGACGGCGCGACAAGCGGAGCAGACACTCCAGGCCAGATCCTCCCCTGCCGCCGCCTCTCCTCCCTCTCGGCCGCGAGCGCCTCGACAGTGCTACGACCCCCTGGCTCAGGAGGTCGAGGAGGAGGAGGAGGGGGAGGGGGAGGGGGAGGAGGAGGAGGAGGAGGGGGAGGGGGAGGAGGAGGGAGGAGGGAGGAGGAGGAGGAGGAGGAGGAGGAGGAGGAGGAGGAGGAGGAGAGAAGGAACAGGAGGGGAGGAGGAACAGGAGGAGGAGGAGGAGGAGGAGGAGGAGGAGGAGGAGGAGGAGGAGGAGGAGAAGGAGGAGGCCCACGCCGCCCACCCCGCCCCGCCGCGCCTGCGCGGCCGCCGCCGCCGCCTCGCCGCCTCCGGCTGCGGGCGCTGGCGCGCCCGCGGCCCCGTTGGCTCCTGGCGGCGGCGAGGCTCCCCGCGGGGGAGGGACACCCGAGGCCATGGGGTGGATTTCCTCCCCCTCCTCCTCAATATCCTCCTTCTGCTCGGTCATCGATTACCGATCCCACCCTCTATCTGATGTTTACATGTGCATGCTTCCTATTATTATTATCCCCTTCTTCCTCTTCCTCGATCATCGATCCTCCCCATCTTCTTCCTCCTCCTCCTTTTCCTCCTCCTCCACTTCCTCCTCCAAATCCTCCTGCTCCTCCTCATCCGTCTCCTTGATCCTGGATGAAACCTCTCCTCCATCCCAATCCTCGGCTCTCCCCAAACCCTCCTGTGCCTGGGGTGATCGTAATGTTAAGGTGAGGAGGCCGACAATGAGGAGAGGCCGAGAAGGAGGACGAGACGAGGATGAGAGGAGGCCGAGGAGGTCGAGGAGGACGTCGAGCAATCAAAGGAGGACAAGGACGAGGAGGACGAGGAAGCAGAGGATCAAGTCTTTGGGAGGGCCGTCGACGATTCGGGACCAAGGTGCCGGATCCGCGGGATCAGGCGGGGCCGCAGCGAGACTCCCGATGATGGGGCGGGGGGCGAGTCGGCTCGGGGACAGCCCAAGAGGCCCCGAGGAGGCCCCCGAGAGACCCATCCGAAGTTGACCCCAGAAGTGCACAGCAGGCCACTAGAGGGCCCCAAGAGGCCCCGATGTGGCCTTTCCCTCATCCTCCCCTCCCTCGTCTCCCATCTCCCCTCTTCTCCTCCTCCTCCTCCTTTTTCTCCTCCTCCTCCTCCTCCTCCTCCTCCTCCTCCTCCTCCTCCGCCTCCCGTTGCCTCTCCTCCCCTAAGTGGTTGGCCCAACATTCGGCCCCATAGGCGTTTCCAAGGAGGGGGGCGCCGGTCGCTCGCCGCGCAGTTAGTAGACGATCTGGACATGAGTGTGCACCCTGCGCACCTCTGGGCGAATGGCACGATTAGCAGCGCATCCTTTCAGATGTTGCGTTCGGGCCCCGTTGCTCTGGCTTCATCTTGGCACATAGCTACAATGCATCGGCATCTCGTGATATGCTCCTGCTATTCTTGATGGGCAACTCGTACATACTGAAGACACGCCAGAGCCAAATTCCCGCTGCCTCCGAACGCTGAAATGGGCGGCCGTTGCGCGGTCCGTTGGAGCAAGCGCGGTCAAGTGCACTGCTCTACAGAAGGCACATACGTTCAGAACTCTGGCTATCCTAGCACATACACGTCGTTATGTTCTAATCGTGCTCATTTCAAACTGTGCTCGTTTCTGATTGTTCCTGGCCCCCTAGTGGCCGGGAAGAGGCCCAAGATAGAACAACTAGAAATGAAAGGATCTTGGCTCCCCAAAAAATCAAAGAACTTTCGAATGATCCGCCGGTCCCCTTGTGGGGCCACCATGCTGTAGGCCTAAGGTTCGCAGTTTCCTGTACCAGTTGCAGCTTCCAGTTTCCACTGTTTCAGTTGTGCTTCTTGCTGCTTACTGTTCCTTGTTACAGATCTGCTTCTTGCTGCTCACTGTTCCTCGTTGATGGACTGCACGAGGGTGGGAGGCCCAAACCGGGCATTTTTACCACGCCCTGAGCCTGTTGTCTGAATTGCTGGGGTGGGTAAAACTTGACACCCCTCACGCAGATCGGCGGGGTCAGGGTCAACAAAACCACAAGGGATTTGCCACATTTCTGAAATTCGGTGGCACCCCTCATGCAGATCGGCGGGGTCAGGGTGCAAAAGCACATAGGATTTGCCAAATTTCTAAAATTCGGCGGCACCCCTCACGCAGATCGGCGGGGTCAGGGTGCAAACACATATGGGATTTGCCACATTTCTGAAATTCGGTGGCACCCCTCATGCAGATCGGCGGAGTCAGGATGCAAAAACAAAAATGATGTGCCACATGTTTGAAATTCGGTCGCACCCCTCACGCAGATCGGCGGGGACAGGGTGCAAAAACAC